TTTTCATCAATATATAGTATGAAAATAATGTATTTTTCTACGGTAAAAAAGTTTAAACTATGTATAATAAGTTTTTATTATAAATAATATAATTTTAATAATAATTTAATAAGTTAAAAAATGCAATTTACAAATTTATTTATTTTTTTAATTTTTATGATAAATTGATACTAATAATAAAATTAAGGCATATAGTATAATTAATATTTAAATAAGGAAAAAGGATAATAATAATATTTTCAGGGGTAAGTTGCAAAGGGCAATAGTTTAGGTTTTTTTTATTTTTTATTTTTTTTGCACATTATCCTAATTTTAATTATACATGCAATTTATGACTCCTTTTATTAAAAAAATATTGAAAGTCATGTCATTTTATTTCAAATAAATTGAGTATATTCATGTCAAGAATTTTTTATATAATTATGGGAGACGATATTCGCACTTCACTTTTCAATGTTTGCACTACAATTATTAAATGAAATGGCTATTCTAACCCTAACTTTACAAGTAAATAATTATTACTTTAAAATGACAAAACTGTCCTTTTAGATTTTCTCTCCTTATCTCCAATTTTTAATATTATTTTAGATCTCTTTTGACAAGATAAAAAATTAATTGAATAAAAAAAAAATTACGGGACCAAGAAATAAAAATTTTTGGTCCCGGGAAAAAAAAATTTGTTGAATAAATGGACTCTTTTGACCGGACCAAAAAAAATAAAAACTAACCATTATAAATATTATCTCTTTTGACATTTAAAAAAAAAAAAAAAAAAAAAACACCGAAAAAAATATTTATTGAAAAAATTATCTTTTTTGTCAAGATCTCCAAACGAGAGAGAGAGAAAAAAAAAAAAAAACAAGTATGAAAAGAAGAGAATTAATTTTTTTTTTTATCTATATTGAATAAATTATCTCTTTTGATAAGATCCCAAAAAAAAAAAAATGTTATTTTTATCTAAAAAATTATTTCTTTTAACATGACCCATAAAAAATTATAAAATAAAATTAAAAAAAAAATACCACTTTTGACTAAAAAAAAGTTAATTTTGTTGAATAAAAAATTATTAAAAAAAAAAAAGTCAACTACTTTTGTACTTCACTTATTCTTAACAAGTTGTGAACTTTGTTTTTTTGGTTCATGGGTCAAGTACTTTTGTACTTCACTTATTGCTTAAAACTTTGAAATTTTATTATCATTTCTTTTTTTTTCTTTTTTCTTTTTCTTATTTAATATTTTTGTTGTGCCAGGTTCCACTACCACTGCTTTACAATCATCATTGTAAATCCACTTCATTAATTTCAAGGGATTTTTATACATAAATGTATTTATGGGCTCATATTTACACTGTCATGTAGTCAAAGTCTGATAGTTTCACAAAAATGAACTTGACCCAAATGCTGATGTGGACATGAAAATTTACTGTTTATTTTAATTTGTAACCTAAAATACCCTTTTGCTTTTTGAACCAAATTACGTTTTTGCCCCCCCTTTCTCTATCCTTTCCTCATTTTCTTTCTACTCTCATCAGACCAAAGAAACCCAAAAATTCACAGAGCTCTCCTATGAAGGGAAAAGCTTCTACACTGTTGCCAATCACAACGAATGACGGTCTGAGACAGCACCGATTCCGATCACGAACGGCAGGCACAACACTCTTTAAACCCAGTTCCACAACCACCACCATAAAGGCGGCGGTGTAGAGTTCGGACCGAAGAAACGCGTGGGCGTGTTCGCGCGAGTTATATCTACTCGCAGGAACATGGGCCCGTTCGCCTCGAGTTAGACGACGACGGTGATGAGCTGTGAGGATGTTGCGGCTCCGGCAATAAAGGGTTATGATTACCGACACAGTGAAGAGGTTATGGTTACCAACGGTTAAGGGTGCCGACAGTGAAGAAGATGGCAAAGGCAGAAAGCCAGCGAGTATGCCGTCGCCGATGATGGAGAAGTCACGGGTTGACTGGTTGGTGTGGCTATCCGGTGAGGATGAAGATGATTGAGGATAGAGGTTGACTGTGGGCAGATTTTTTGTGCAAGGGAGAAAAGAAAAAAAGAAAAAGAAAATTCTCATGTTTTTCTAATTTGGGGTAAGGACACAACCAGATTCAAGAGCTGATGGGGAACGAGGTAATGGAGAAGAGGAATGATTGGCAACAGTCTGCTTTTGCCTTCATAGGAGCTCTGAATTTTTGGGTTTATTTGGTCTGATGAGAGTACAAAGAGAACGAGGAGAGGAGAGAGGGGGCAAAAAAATAATTTGGTTCAAAAAGCAAAGGGTATTTTAGGTAACAAATTAAAATGTACAGTAAATTTTCACGTCCACATCAGCAATTGGGTCAAATTCATTTTTGTGAAACTATCTGACTTTGACTACATGACAGTGTAAATATGAACCCATAAGTACATTTATATGTAAAAATCCCTAATTTTTCAAATCTAAGATTATTAAGAAAATAGTTTTGTGTTTTCTTTTTAATTTTTCTTTTTAATTAAGAACATATATAGAAATAGAACGAGATAGACTAGAAATGACATCTGTTATGTCAGTGACATCAAAGAAATATTAAATAAATAAAACTGGGATATGAATGAAATATAATGAAATAGTCACTTTGAGATTCCTATGACATGAGGACTGGAAGGGAGGAATTCCGCCCCCCCCCCCCCCCCCCCCCCCCGCCCCCCCCCGGGGGCTATAAGAAGCACTTATTATTCGACGACAAAATTTACCTTGTGTCTAATGAACTTTGTTTTTGGTCAATGAGTTTATGGTCAACTTCTATAAACTTCACTTATTAATTGCTTGCTTAAAAAGTTTATTATAATTTCAATCCAAAACGGTTGGTAGTTAGAAAAAATTTGAGACATGATGTTTTGTAAGGTATCAAATATTAATATTCAGTCATAAAGTGTAAATAATTTTAAAGGAGCTCTACCAATTAATATAGTCCGAATCTTACTCGATTCGTGGGGACACATTGCATGAGTCCTATGAATTAGTCAAAGTAAAAGTCCCAGACATCCCGATTATTTAAAAAAAAAAAAAAATGTAATTTCATTTGTATAATATTACATGAAATATATATATATATATATATATATATATATATATATATATATATATTTTATTATTATTATTAATGTGCCAGGTTTTATTCTCACATTGGTGCCCACTAAATATCAAGTCGATCTTAGGATTGATTCTTCTTAGGTGTAAATAATTTCTTAGAGGCCACCCTCAAATATAATTTAAATTTTACCCGATTCGTGTAAATGGCATATTAAACGAGTCTTGTGAATTGTTTGGAGCAAAAGTCTCGAACACCTCGAATATTGGAAAGAAAAAAAAAAGTTTATTATATTTTCATTTTGTATGGTGTTGCATGAAAAAATATATATGTTTTTGTTGTGAAAGGTTTTATTTCCACAGTGGGGTCCACTAATTTTAATAGTACTACCACTACTATTTGATTTCATAACAATCATCATTATAAACCCCACTTCGATCATTAATTTCAAATCCAATAGATAATTAAGAGATCGCTTGTAAGGATTCCTAGGATAGTCACTTCAGTGACCTGGACCTTTCTTGTGACAAAACTTGCGGATTATAGTGCGAGAGCATGATCTATTTTGTGGCGATAGGTGCAACCCTGTGGAGAAGGTAGAGATGAAGTCAGTTTCTTTCTGGAATAATGAGTAACAAGAACTGCATCTTTAGCCTGAGGTTGAAATGTACTCAGTCGAGTTTCTTCTGAAAGAAGTTCGGTGATAGCATTTTCTAAAGTAAGCAGAGGATGACGATGAAAGATAGAGACTCGAACTAGTTCAAATGAGGGTTGAAGAGCCATAAGAAACATGTGACACGTTGCCGATCTCGATAGGTAGTAAATTTTGTAGAATCAGAAGCACATGACCAAGTAGGTTCAGAGAAAGATAGTTTATCCCAAATAACATGCATTTGAGAGACAAAAGTACTGATAGATTGACCAGATTGTTGAGTTTTGTTGTGAAGATTAGTCTGAAGTTGATATTGATGGGCGAGATCAGTAGTGGTGTAACAATGCTTCAAAAAATCCCAAATAGATTTTGCAGAATCAAAATGACCAAATTCTATACTAACGAATGAAATAGAGGTATTGCGAAATCAAGTGATAATATGATGAATTTTGTTGTCTCATTCTTCAAAAAGGTCACCATATTTTTCTTTTGTTTCGGTTCCTTCTTGCACAGGCTCAAGGATATCACCAGTGACAATGCACCATAATTTCTTACCTTTGAGAAAGCTGGTCATAGCTTGGGTCCAAAGAATATAATTTGAACAGCCCTCCAATGTAATGCTAATAGGATGAGAAATTTCATACCGATCCATAACTGGTAGTTATATGAGATATGAATTTGAAATCAGTTTTACAGGGTCAGAGTCACTCAAAACAGAACCCAAAAACTGGAAAGAGCACGTCAAAACATGCGAATAACAGGTCTAAGACAGTTCCAAAAAAGTTGAGAATGAGGGGCTGAACCGGCCAGAAAAAGGGAGTTGAAGGTCTGTGTTAACCACTAATTGACTCTAGAGGGGGGTGAATAGAGTCAATGCTCAATTTTTGAAATTTATAAAAAGTTAATTCTAACTAACTATCATGCAATAATCAATTGAGATATTCAAGCAACATATATCACAAGTGACAAGTACATAAAGGAGATAAAGATAAGAAATTGCAAACAATGACTCGGCGATTTAGCGAGGTTCGGAAACTCCTACTCCTCGGCTCAAGGTCCCCCTTGAGACTTCCCAAATTCACTAGAGCTTCTCCTTAATGGTGGAGAGCAAACCTTCAATTTGAAGCAATACCTTGCTTCTCTTCCTTGCTAGGAGAACACCCTTCTCCTAGGCTTTCTTTTGGGTCACACCAACACTTTACAATAAACTTGTAATAGAAATGTAGTGACACACCTCAACCCAATTTACACTATTTAATAAATTGAACAAATTGGAATGCATCTAACCATCTGCATTAACCTCATTCAAACATAACGTCATCCTACATCAGAGTATCTGTTTAACAGTTTACAATTTAAAAACAAATTATAGGCCCATTATGCAAATTCTGACAAACTAAATCGTTAGTGACAAGTTACACTATTAAATTATACTATAATATTTACATCTTAAATAAAAGACATTCCATTGTTCTTTTCCCAATTCACACTCAAGATTCTAGACCTGGCAGTAGCGACCCAACCTTGTACCTGAAAATATAAATATGGAAGGAGTGAGCTTAAAGCCCAGTGAATGTAACACTACTACATCAGAGTAATATAAACAAATATTATCTAATAACTTCAATTAAACTTCATTAACAAATTACAGGCATTAAAATATAATACTCTCCTTCTAGGCCAAAGTATGGACCTTATATAATATAGTACTCTCCTTCTAGGCCAAAGTATGGACCTTATATAATATAGTACTCTCCTTCTAGGCCAGAGTATGGACCTTATTTAAATATAGTACTCTCTTTCTTGGCCAGAGTATGGATCTTATTTAATGTAGTACTCTCCTTCCAGGCCAGAGTATGGACCTTATATAATATATTACTCTCCTTCCAAGCCAGAGTATGGACCTTATTTAATATAATCAAATTATATATATTCATCTTAAATTTACATAAACAGCTTCAATATTTCAATCAAACATATCCAATTTATAAACTTCCAGTGAGTACACTCACCTTGGCTACTTCCCAATTTATTCACTTTTCCTTTGGTATTATTGAAGTTGTCTGCTCCTTCTCCTTGCCTAAACAAAATTGTAATCACATCATACCCATTTTTAAAAAGAAATAAGTAATATTCATCATAACCTTCATAATAAATCCAATGTTTGTATACAATTGTAACTAAAATTCGGGTCACACATATCTATATTAAATTCCAACTTAATACTTCGAATAAAATAATCATGGTATCAATTCGTCCAAGGCAGCCATTACTAGTATCTAACTAGTTAAATGAATTGATTACCAAAGACAAAATAATGAGATTTTGATATAACATTTGAAGTAAAAACTTTTTTATTTTACTACTAGTGCACAAAAAAGCCTAGCAACAATTTTTTCTCTCACTTTTCTCTTTCTTTCTTCTTCTCTTTCTAGCCATTTCTTCCCAAATTATTTCACTGGTACACTGGATTAATTAGTACCAATTTATGGTGACTGGTAAGGCAGTTCTCAAAGTTTCTTCAAGAAGCTTTTTATCTGCATATCAGATTTAATTCCATAACTCCAACAACCAACAATTATCTCAACTTACATAATTTAATAATTGAATAAATCAAGTGAAATAATTCAAGATATATGCAATTTATGCAAAATCCCTAAATCAAGTTATTCTTATTGCTAAGAAAATTTAAGAATCATCACTTCTAAAATAAATCTCAACTTTTCTAGACAATTGAAATGGAAATTCCCATTTTAAACATTTAGAATAAATTTCTACACAGTACTCACAACCCAGCAAGAAGTTTACAACCCAACTGAAAGAGGACAATTGAAATAAATAGAATTTCTTTCCAGAACAGTTTATCACTTCAACTACAGGAGCTTCTAATAATAAATTTATATTATGAAAATTTAAAAATAAAAATCTGCATACCTGCCTACTGAGTTTTGTTTTCCGGCAACCCTTTCCTTTTCCTTTCTTCTTTCTCTTTTTGGTTTCCTTTAGGGCCATACAATTGGCTACTTCTTTCTCTTTTTATCTTTTTATTATTACTATATTTTTTTTTTTAATCCTTCCAACCGTCCCTCACTACTCTTATGCTAAGTAGAGAAATATGCCCACACCGCCTTATACATACACTTCTATTATATTACTAGTAATAAAATTGAAACTAAATAATATATATATATATATATATATATATATACACACACACACACACACACACAAATATAACTTTAACACTAACACATCACCAACCTACATTCCACAACAACATTACATCACCACGTGTCTATTAGTCATCACAATTTCCTTCCATTTGTTTCCTTACTAGGTGATTCTACTAGCTTCTAAAGGAAACTTACAGAATTCTTTATACCCACATATCCATATGCATATGTAAGTGTACAATGTACCTGGGTGAACTAGCAGCTTGACCATATTCTATATTTAGTGAGATAAAAATATAAAGCTTCATGGTAATCACACACAGCCAAAACTTTTAGAAAGCTTTAATTGACAACACATCCATAAATAATATCACAATTATGTATAACCCTATCTAGGTGTCATATAAAATATCCACATATAATTCATGTTTAATAAAAATTAATTTATGCTAATGAAAATGATTATGTATTGGGGTCTTACATGCAGTGTACAATAAATCTCTCAAAGACAGTAGTATAAAGTTTTGCTCACAACTATAGTAAAGATGAATATATATCTGAAGCTTAGAATTACTACAGTGGAATGAAATGTAAGAGAGGAAATGAAAGCTCAATGAATGCTACTTTAATGATCTTCAAGGATTATAGAATGCTCTCTTAAATGGTGTCATTTTATTGCAGAACAACCCTCAATATTTATAGATAAACGAAGTTCAATATTGTTGTTAGAGGTGGTTGGGGATTGTGATACCCCCGGATTTCTGGATGCAGGTTGGCCAGGCCCACGCTCGATTACCCAAGGATATCAAACCAATTAGCAATAAACGAACACAGAATATAACTATGATAAAAAGAATAAATAAAAATTACTAAAAAAAACTAAAATGATAAACCAAACTTAATCCTCAGAATAAAATTTTATAAATAAGAAATTATTCTGATACATTCAACTTCTCCATTTCTAATACAACTCATAAATCCATCTGGTGGACCCCTAATCAAACTCCAACATTGAAAGCAACAATTGAAGAAAATGCAATGCTAAACCATGAAGAAAACTCCTACATCGTCGGAAGAATGAGTAGTTGTCTTTGCTAAGCACGAACAAGTTCTAAGACCTGGAACCATCCCTCACCTAAAAAATAATAGTGGGTCAGGCTTACGAACAAGTTCCATCATAACCACAATCCAAATAGAGACCCGATACGTAGATATATCTTAGATGTCTCAATCATATCTATATAGTCTGTAAGTATATATATATATATATCCACACTACAGGACTCTCACTGGACTATGATAAGGGTCTCAACTTGAATAGAAGGCAACATGCAAAACGCACCTGAGTGGGCATGACTACTTAAGCCTGAAAGGGTATACCTCAACCAACACAGCCAACTACGCATCCTACTGTATATACGCTCCCTAACCAACGATCCTAAGACTCAAGCTCATATCGCGGTACCATAAATTATATATATATAAATTCCATCCAAATACAATGTTGTGTCGGTCAACTGTTCGTCGTCCAGACACAACATATAATTAAGATTTAAATGTTTTAATTAAATCCCAATCCATATATATAAATTCCATCCAAATACAATGTTGTGTCGGTCAACTATTCGTCATCTAGACACGACATATAATTAGGATTTAAATGTTTTAATTAAATCCCTATCCTTCATAATACAGAAATATAAACAACCATCCAATATGTCGTTCAACTGTTTTAGTTGACAGGACATGAAACCATGTAGGATTTAACTGTTTTAGTTAATCCATTCTGTATGAATGAATGGGTAGGAATTAGCGTTTTGATCTAATCCGTCCCTCCATATGCCACCGTCCCATACCGGTGCATATAATGCATATGATCCGTAAATGATGCAACACTTTCAACAGTACATCAAATAAAATTCACATAATCCATATAGTTGATAAAATAGAATTTAAACAGTTCATCAACAAAAATTCCAAAAAAAACATCCTAGCAATTGCTAAAACATTATTCATAGTTCAGCAAATGGAATCCAAATCATTTAATCCATGTAATTGCATAACAGAGTTTAACAATTCAACAATTAAAATTCAGAGTAAGCATAGACCAGGTCTGATAAATAAATGACCCTATTGTGCATCCACAACAAGATTTATAACCATGTTATATTCTGTTAAATTGCTAGGCACAATTTAATCCATTAAATCCTCTCCAACCGTTAACAGTATGTAAGATTAGTTAAACTTCCCTACTGTTAAATCCACTGGCATAAAGACACTAATTATGTAATGTGAGTTTTAATACAGCATAATAATATGTTTAGAGTCCATGCTACAATCCGTTAAATTTTTAAAACAAGATTTAAACAATTCAGTCTTTCCTATCCATTAAAGCATGCAAGGTTGCTTATTTTTATACTGTTTATTCCATTTGCTTTACGGATCAAATTATGCAATTAGAGAGTTTATAATCCCTTGAAATTACTTTTAAAATTCTCATTCCAGTCCTTGAAACATTTCAGAATCCCAAACATGCCCCAAACAGTGCCCAAACACTCCCGAAAATCGTCCAAACAAAGGAGTACAAGGGAGCCTACTCTCTAAACCACAGAGCTGTAATGACCTGGTCATTTCCTCCCTTTTCTTTTTCCTCAGAATTTTAAGGATGAATTTTTTTCCATTGAAATCTCTTTTCTAAGTTTAGTTTCTCATCACTTAGTGTCGTCTCGAATGCTCAGAAATGGTTTCTAAGACTCTTTCCTTTGAATTGATAACTTCCTTTGAGGACCGAGTCATTTCCACATTTTTCGTTTTTCGACACTATTCACTTTTTGTCCTTTTCCCTATTTTGTCCTCTTCCCTATTTTGTCTTTTCTCCGTTTGTCACTTGGTTGGCATAACCTCACTCCTTGTGTTCGGAGTTGGTTTTTGACTTCACATATCTTCATCCGAAGTGGTTTCCACAAAATACATATCTTTACGTTTGCAGAAAAACACTCTGCCTGTTTCCGGTGTCCATTAGGGCATGGATGCACAATTCTTTAGAATCTTTTTCTTTTCTTGGGGTGTTTTTCATAAATATCTTTTAAAGATATTTTATTTTAGGGGTATCTTAGAAAATATCTTTTGGAAGATATTTTCATTCTAGGGTAGTTTTGCAGTAAACCTTTTTTGTAAGGGCCATTGTGCAATTAACGAAAGTTATTGCAAATCCCTTGTTTTAAGCCTAAATCCTCGTACGGGATTTATTTTCACATTTTTTTGAGTCGTGTACTCATAGAATTTCCTTCTGGTCATTTTTCTCCAGTTTCAGGGTTTGTGGACCTAGTTGCCGCTAAACTTATTTGGGGCATATCTCTCTGCTCGGGAATTGCTTTTCGATACCGTTTCTTCTGGTATATATATTTTCTCATTTTGAATCTTTTTGTTCACAGAGTTTTATCATTTGAGCGCGTTTGCTCAAAATCCACTTTTTCAGACCCGACGGGACCCTTTCGGGGCACTTTTTGAGATTTTCTATAAATAAGGGGTCTTAAGTCAAAAAGTCAGATTTCCATCATCTTCTTCACCCTCTTGGCCAGCAGCCATGGGTGCCCGAGGGTCTGCCTTCATTCTTTCTTCTCCTCCACTTGATTTCCTTAGTGAGAACTCTTCGGCCTTCACGTTTATCGTTCCACTCGACGTGCTCTACCTTTCCCCCTTATAGGAATTCATTTTTGACCATTTCTTGAGTTTGGGTTGAAGTCAAGTTATGATTTTGATGGGGCTTCTTGGGGGTTCATGTAGATCGTGTTGTCCCCGACAAAAGGAGTTTCGTCTGATTCAGAGCGGTTTCAATTTGGTAGGGATTTGAGATTTCATCTCAAAATGAGGTAGGGGATGTCTTAGGTTTATATTAATGTTGTATTGATTGTTATATGAGCATATACAACTTGTAAGCATGCCTTTGTTTAAGTTTTAGAATTTAATTTAATTATTTTCTATGATTAAGATTTAATTCACATGGATGTATGTTGCTTAGCATGCTAGTAATTTAGACCTTGGTATACTTGTTGACATATATTAAATTGGGAGCATTTGAATGAGAATTGCAAAATTTATTTAATATTTATCTTTTATGAAAGATTAATTTACATAGTTGTATCAAGCATGAAATCAAATTGTAATGTGATATTAAAGTAGGCCTTGGTGAGCTCTTTAACATATATTAAATTGAGGGCATTTGGATATGTTTGAAAATCTAGAGAATATTAATTAATTAGCTTAATTAATTTTTACTTTAAGTGTTTTAGTCACTTAAATTGATGTTGGAGGCAATATATGTTAAGACTGTGCTATAAAATTTCACATGTATTAATTTGAACTTAATTGGAATTGATTTGAAATCTAGAAACTTTCCATATTAGGTTGAAAATCTCTTGAAATGTAGTATGTTTAATTACCTTGTAAGCATGCTACTAACTTGTTGTAGAATTAGTACTTGTGGTTTCTAAAGATGGTAATTTAACTTAGTATGATATGTGATATCATTGTCTTGAATAGCTTGTTTAAATATATCTTGTGTAGGTATGTAGCTTGTTAGAATATTACAATTGTTTACCTTGAAAGCTTGATACTAAATTGTAGCATATTTAGTACTTGTGGCTTAGGATGGTAATGTAGCTCAATTGTTGTAAAATATTTTTATTTTGTGTATAAATTGCATATTGAGGACATGACATGTCATATGCTATCTAGACTTAAATTTTAGGATATGAATTGTGTGAATTCAACCTTACTTATGCATGGAATGTGGTAACTTGCATTTGATTTTGTATAAGTTTTGAACTTATTGGTTTTGGAAAGCTTGTGAGGATATAATTTATGTGATGGCTAGGGTTTGGCTCTAGTACGGAAACAAAAGTCTTATAAGTCATAAATGCGCACTAGGTGATACCTTGTGGGTCATAATTACCTGAAAATACCTGCTTGGTCTAGTGACCACA